CAGGCTCTCTGGGTGAAAGAGAGCCTGCAAGGATCCCTATGATGATTGCGTGCCGCCCTTCAATTAGGATGTCACAGGTCAATTAATAACAACCAATCAGCACAGACCGGAAATACACTTCAATATTGTAAACATAAACCGATAAACGGTTGAACTCCATTTATATTTTATTATTTCGTTAGTTTCTATTACAGACCGCCACTGGGGCATACTAAAGTTAAAACTGCTCGAGTACAGTGTAATATATCAAGTTGTACTTTTTATTACAATCTGCATGTGTTTCTGTAGGCACAGTACGTTTAAAGTTGTATATTACCCGCTAACTAATTCAGTTGTTTGGAATTGCTTCATGCTGCAATAAATATATATACAGTATAGTAATATTAATATAACTTACTGAAATTTATGGCTTTGGTGAGACGTAGACATATATGATATACCATGGACATTGGACATAATTTAATAATATGTTTAATTATAGTTCAAATTTTGCAACAAAAGGTGGAATTATAGTAAACATGCATGTGATAATTATTGTAAACAAAGTGACGAGTAAATTACTCATACGGTACATTTTAACGCAGCGTACTTATAAATATTAAATAGTCACTATAACATTGTAAAACAAGCTTAATACGAACAATATGCAGTGAATATTATCAGAATATATAATTCTCAATATTGTTTCATGAAAGAGAAGCGATATATTATTATGCCTTGTCCGGAGTTGTCCCTAGGTTTCGGTTTGCGAATTTGTTCAGTCTTTTCTTAGCCTAGAAGTCAGACAAGCCCAGGACACAATAAAGCATGCAAGCTTTTAGTACTCGTCTTTATATGAATACTATATTATAATCAACAAGGATACAAATCTCTACATTGCCACAATTCCGAAGCTTTGCGTTGGTCGGTTTTACAAACGGGAAGCTTGTCAATCACTTCATTTGAATCAGTTATCAACCAATCAGAGCTCTGCGTCCAAATATTGGACGCATGCACGTAAATATTATAGGGATCCTTGCAGGCTCTCTTTCACCCAGAGAGCCTGCTTGCAGGCTATGCTCTCAGTGATATATATTTTGTTATCGGCAAGTCTTTCAAGCCCAAGATCAACTGTGGATTTCTCCTTAAGGTGCTATATGTTTATATCACTTCTTTCCCAATAGTACAAGCCTAGCAAAACAACTTCTGCACGGCTCCACCTTCTTTTGATCTTTCTCCTTGAATGCATGTTTGAAGCAGATCATTCTCCAATGACTGTTCATCATCTCTGTTTCACGCTCGTGTTCCACGTTGTAAGGCCCTTTGTACACTATAGGTGCTTTTGACGTTGCGAAAATCGGGACATCAGAAGATATGACAACATAATTGGCAAAATGATTCTTGGGAGCAGGTAGCTTAACCGTCTCTCCTTCAAGTAGGAGGAGATCTTTCCATGTGATGACTTCTTTGCTGAAGTGAAAATCTTGCAAGAGAATCACCTCTGCCTTGTCGGCACCAACCCAAGCGTACTTGTCATTCGCAGGATTGTCAAACAATCGGTCATCAAAGATGCACTTCAAGGGCTTCAACGAAAACGTTTTGGCGCAGTTGGTTTGACCGTAGATCATCAGATTTCCGAATTTCCCCCGACTGCAAGCTAGAAGCTCAAATATGTACGAGGCAAAAACAGTTAATTCTATACCATTCAGCGAAAGCACTTCTATGGCACACTCAAGCCAACTACCGTTGCACCCATCAACGCAGGCATTTTCCGCTGCATTTCAAACTTTTTCGATTCTTGTGATTTTGTCTCGCTGTATTTCTGAAGACGCCTGATTCAGCAACCACGACTTGCTCATCAGCTCGGCAATGGTTTTCTGCGTTCGGGAGAACAAGAAATTAGCGAGATCGCTTTCACCCTCTCCTGCTTTCTAGTATCAGCCTTAGCAAATAGCTGTTGCACAGTGGTGATGTTGTTAGCAACAATGAAATCACCCACTTCAAGATTAGTAAGGCGCCTTCTTTTCTGATTTCCTCTTTCACGACTGGCTGTCACCTCCGCGTTTGTATTGGTCGACCTTCTTTTTCGGCCCGCTTCTCGAAGAGCTACAGTTGAAGCTTTAGTGCGTGGAGATCCCACTTCGGAAAGGTCAGGATGATTGTCACTATGAGCAACGTCCTTGTCAGTTTTACAGACATAACGGTACGCATATATGTACTGATTATGATCTGAGAAGTTAACCACTATGTCATGTTTCTTTGTGATTGCGTTTTTAATTGACAACCACTTTTTTACCCGTCAGCTTCAAACAGCAATGATAATGAAAACCATTTTCTTCATGTGGCTCCTTACAGCAGGCCCAATGTGACACCTTGACTTGGCTAGTCCCTGCATTGAACTCGTTTTTCAGCATTTTACCAAAACTCTCTCTCATGGGGAACTTACTTATATTGGCTTGTGAGTAGGTAATGAGATGCTGACGCCTTCCTGAACGTGGGTTTTGTAAATTTGTTTCAGACATTGTAAATATACTCTGGAAGAAACTATTCAAAGCAAACAATGTAAGATCTCTGACGGATCCGAAATAGCCCTGATCGTAAACTTCATGTAAAGTATGATAAAGTAGCAGAATAAATAATTGCATAAATTAAAAACAACAACAAAACCTGCACGAAATCGGAAGTGTTGCAAATGTAAATCATTCTTATTTTGTTTGGAGCCGTTGATAAAGTCGAGTTTTCTGTTTGGTAAGTATGACGTTCATTTTGTTTGAACAAATTTGATCAATTATCGTCTTTAAAGATGCTGTAAAGTCCGTATAAATGTGAACAAACACCTTGTTTACATATTTTTGAACTGCTATATATGTAAGATATGTTAATATACTAACTGAATATCTAACACTTTTCTGGTTCGCTATGCTTGTAAATTATATAAACTCCACGTTTCAATTCGAAAATTTAGAAAGATGCAAAAATTTTGGCAATGTACATGTTTATATCTGCGGCTCCTGTTTGTTATGAGCACAACTGATGCACAGAACGGACTTTACATTACAGCATCTTTAAATTAATATTTCAAAGTTATTGATTTGGGATTTATCTTAGATCTTTCTGTTTTTATTCAAATTGCAAAAATGATAAGCTTCTGCATGAAGGACGTACAATTTGTTTCTTGCCATGATTAAAAAGCTCCAAGAATAATCAATATAAACAGTATTAGAGGGCAGTATAACCCCCCCCCCCC